GTGAGGCATGTAAAAACAGCCTCACTGGAACTCTGGGAAACTGAGTTCAGCTATTAAGGAAACTCAAGTTTGGAAAAAAGGATCTGAGGTTGGATAAAGAGTTTTCTGGAAGCCAGGAAATTTGGCAGTAATTCACCCCATATTATCTCAGCAATTCTTCCTATACTTATTTCATTAAGAATTATTTTCTATTTTCCTCATTATAAAAATGTCACCAAGGGTGACAGAGTGAGACTGTCTCAAAAAAAAAAAAGAGAAAAGAAAAGGAAAAACGGAAGCTTAGGATTGAGTGACTTGGTCAAGTTTATACCTCCAGTAAGTTGCACAGCAAAGACTCACATTCAAGTCTGCCTCACCTCAACGCCAATTTTCTTTGTTCCCTTAACTTTGATCTCTTTCTATAGCATCGTTAGGAGAGCAAAAGAAATGCATGAAAAAAGCCTCTTAATCTAACACCTCAGAGAAAAAAATATAGCACTTTAGTAAATATTTTTATAATCTTGCCTATATGTACAACATTTTCCCCACACAGTTACAATTATACTCCCCTTGAGTGTATACAATATAGTATCTCTGATTTTATTTAACCTCACACAAGCATTGCCCCAAGGATTTTAAAGCAAAAAAAGCAAAAAAAAAAAAAAAAAAAAGCCACGCACTCTGTTTTATAAGCTGATAGGATTTACCATACTCTATATAACTCTTTCCCTATCAGTGAACACTGATGTTATTTCCAAGTTTCCACCATTGCAACAGTGCTGTCATAAACAATTTCATCTGCATAAACCTTTCCCCTTTATGTGACTAGTTCAAAGGGTATACAAATTTGCAAGGTCTTTATTCTTGAAGTATGTTTCCTATATGGTTTTCCCAATATGATGGCTAGGGGTGGTGCCTGTGGCTCAAAGGAGTAAGGCACCAGCCCCATATACCAGAGGTGGTGGGTTCAAACCTGGCCCCAGCCCCCAAAACTCCAAAATGATGGCTGGTGCACCCCAATCAGCAGCAAACAGAGGGCTTGATTCAATACACACTTGTCAAAGTGGGATTCACCCTGTTTTATTTGTTTTCTACACCTCATCTTCCTCTTTCTCCCATCTGCTTTCACAAAATAAAGAAAAGGGCAGTGTTCTGAACACTATCTCCTTTTGCTGTTTTTATTGCTGTCAGGGGGACTGTTTTCACAATTACCCATCATTGAAATATCAGACTTATCTGTATGGCTTACTGGATATGGGGGATAAAGGAATAAAAGAAATAAAAATTGTGTGAACTTTTTCCTTGAAAAATCCCCAAATTTGAACTGTTTCTTTCCGTTGAGTGTCCATCACTCCCTCGGATCCAACGATAGCCTCCACGGGGCCTCCTGGGTTCTCCTCTCCTTCTATCTCTTTCACAATATGTTCTGTTGCCAGATGACTCTTTCATAAACACCGAGGACATCACGCAATTTTCTGGTACATAAAGTTTTAGTGGTTCCCTATTTCTTACTTAACTCCTTTGACTGACTTTCAACCTCCAGCTACTGCCCATCAGCAAGTAGACCATCTTTCTAGGTCCTCCTTCCCATTAACTTCATCTTCACTCTGCCTCCCTGACTTTCCAAAGAAGCAGGGTACAGGAAAATGCATTTGACTCCTATATTTTATAGAAACGGTCCTGCCATTTATACGATGATTCAGAAGGTACCACAGGAGCTTCCAGGGCCTATCACTGTAATGTCAATTTGTGAAAGTGCTATTAACAAACATTTCTGGTTGATGGCATTTTGAGATGATAGCTTATTCTGAATTCCTGGTCTCCGGCTAGGACAGCAGAAGCATAGACCTTGACCTTGACTTTGATTAAGAGTGAAGACTCTAGACTTTCAAACTGTTCAGCCCATGCGGCCATTGTGCAATCTTATGCTTAATGTAATCACAATCCTTTAAAAATTCTGGCTTTTGTGCACAGGATTTCCATCCACCCTCTAGTCCACTGTGCTGTGTTAAGTTTTCTCAGTTGTTGGCTGCTCTGCTTTGAGAGAGTGTTTAACTCAGAGCTCTGCAAAGATGGAGTGCTATTCTGCTGACTGTAGAGTACGTAGGTCAAGTGGAATTTTTGGCACTTCATTACATCCCCTGACCCTCACTAAACAAACTTCAAAATATATATATTTGCAACAATTTGGAATAAACACTACATACAAGTGTTGACGGTAGATTTTCTGAAGAACTACCAAATGCATCAAGACTAAGGAAAACATTCTAATGATTCTTTCAAACATGAATGTATTTAAATTCTGTTAAACAATCTTCTTATTTAGTCTTCTCAGGCTTTGATGACATGCCACGATTGGCTGTTTATCAAAAACTTAGCAAAAAACGCTTAACAAGATATAATCGTGTGCACACACTTGTGCATAATTAAACCCCGTTTATAAATTGGTGCAGGGTGAAATATGGTCACACCACCCAAGAAAGGTTTGTGGCTGACAAATAACACTTTTTCTTTCCATCTATAAATGACAAATCTTAAAATGTGAATGCTGTGAAGTGATATAAGAATCTGATCTCAAATCTTCATTTAAAGCATCTATTTCCATCTGTACTGAACTAAATGAAAGTTTTTGCAAAATTAGGAAATTAACTTATGTATCAGAAACACAATCAGGCATTAATTCTTAAAACTGGGGTTATGTGGCCTAGACTAAGAGGATCTTCATCTTTTGAAGGTTTTTAACCAGAGAGATTCTCTTCTGTGTGTTTTATTTTTTTCCAAAGGAGGATTTAGCTGACTCTTAGCTTCTTCATTTTATAGCTGTTCTTTCAGTTGGGAAAAAAAAAGGAATAATTGAGGCTGAGTAATGGATATTTCTCAAGAACTTCAAGACTAGGTATTGCATAGCATTAAAGGGTATGCTTTTCCATTTGTTTTATGACTTTGTCTAGTTAAAGTTACTGAGATAAGCACTCCAGTATTTATTTGTAACTCTAAACCCCTTTCATGGTGTGTCTGGATCCTAAGGGAAAAGAATTAACATTTGAGGAATGCTTACCTTGTGCCAGGCATTTTATACGCATTATCTCATTTAATTCTCATAGCCACAAGATATGGGTGATATCATTTAATCCACCATTACTTGCCTAAGATCATAACAGGAGCAAAGTATAGAGTAAGGATTTGACTCTAGGCTTCTCTTTCTGTTTCTTTAAAGCCCAAGATCCTTCTGCGAAACTACACTGGGTTTCCCACTGAGGCCGGCATGTGCAAGTGACAGTACTAAGAGATGTTCTGAATTTTGAAATAAAGTTCCCCCTGAGTGTAAATAAGAGAGAAACTGATATGATGAATTAGATTCAAACATGTTTCCTAATGCAATGATTGGTTTAACAAGTTATGGACTATCCATACCATGGAATACTAGGCCATCATTAGCAATATTAAGACAAATCTATCTAATGAAATGAAAGGCCATTGAGTTGCAAAATATTTGCAGAACAAACCATGGCGTCTGATGTTTTTTAACAGAAGAAACAGCCATATGTACCTGCTTGCATGGGCTTAGAAAGAGATGGGAAAGGATACATGCAAAAATGTTAGTTACTTTTGCTCTTCAGGCTAAGAGTGACTAGTAGGCAAATTTCAGTTTTAAATGGATTTGTATCTCTGTTGCTTTCTTTGGGTGCACTTACATGTATTATGTTCACAATTAAAAATCATACGATAGATTAGTTGAACAATCTATGGCAATGACTCATTCCAAGTAATGGGTAAGATAATTCAGGTGATTTAATCTCTCCAAAGCAAAACTGCCCAATCTATTTGAAACTATCAGGCTTCATATTACTATGCATATAAGCATGGAGCAAAAGCTAAAACCTCACCACTTGTACTGTATTTTGCCTTATCTAAAGAAGGTGTTAACAAAAGGCAAATGAGTAACAGTCATTTCAGACTTACCACGTCCAAAACAGAGCTCGTGAATGTGCTTTTCTGGTGCACCCCGTTTCTCCTCCAGTTTTACCCATCTCTGCATGTGGCCCTGTCATTTCCACTTGCTCAAGTGAAACCCAAAGTCACACACTTGATTTCTCCTCTCCTCTCCATACTATGTCCCAACCAGCAGCAAGTCCAAGCTGTTTCCTTCTGGGACGTCTCACTCATTTCTCTCTGGGGGCTCCACTCAAGCCACCAATATCTCCTGTCTGGATATGAAGGCCTCTGTGTCTTCACATTTGCAATTCATTCTCCACTCGGTAGCCAGAGTGATATTTTATACTCCTTCAGTTTAGCACTCTCCGGTGGTTCTCCCCCGTGTTTAGGATGGGGTCCAAGACCCCCCATAGGGTCTCCCTGTGGCCTACAAGAACCTACGTGATTGGATGCTGGTCTCATGTCTGGGCCCTTAGTTCCCCACTCCATTCCCGCCCCTCACGTTTAGGTCCTAGTGGTCCTGGCCTGCTTTCTGCTTTTCAAATACTGCAAGCTCTTAGGGTCCTCATGGGCTTTTTTTTTTTTTTCCTACTTGGAATTAACTCTCTTTCAGCTGTCTACTAAGCTAAGACAGCACCTTATCAATGTGAACCAACACTTCACAGGTGGGGAACATGGACTTCAGGAAGTTAAAGTAACTCATTTGTGGTCATAGCACTTGGTACATGATAGGGCTTGACTTTGAACTCATGTCTGAAATCATTTCATGCTCTTTTGAATACATTAGATAACAAAGTCAAGGAGGCCCATCCCTGGTCCCTAGTGATGATTCTAACAATCAGCAAATGTCTACTTGTTGAAAAGGCCATGAAGAATAAATTCTTTCAGAAGTTCCTTTTGTTGAGTTCTCCTTCCTATCTCTACCACATTCTCTAGTAGCTGCAAGAAGAGTTAAGTCAACCAGGGGAGGTGGAAAATATACAATGGATAGATTTGGAAACTCCTCTCTTAGAGAATTAAAATTAAACACTGCTCATTTAGGAAATTACTATAGTATTACACTCCCAGAAGCCCTCATAACTTACTTAGTTAGATGTCCAAAGAGAACTTTCATGGTGTCACGATTTGGTGGAGGGAGTTTTTGTACAAGAGACTTTATAGTTTCAATTCTCGTGTTATTGTCTTGCTTTTCTGGAAAAAAAATAAAAAAGAAGGTTAGAAAAAACCATAGATTTCATAGGTATAAAAAAGAATTTTCTTAGAAGAATTTCAAACTAAGTCTTAGCAACTGAAAGTCCTAATCAGTGACCAAAGGAAATATGTGTATTCAACTGGGTTATTATGAGTTAATTATGACTTTGAATTAGACCAGGGTAACTCAAAGGCAAAAACAATGTGACTTTGATGTGATCTTCCTGTTAAGATCAGGTATTCTGTCAGTTTTCTTAAATTTCCTATTTTATAAGGTGTGGCAGGGTGGATAATGGCCTTACAAAGCTATCCCTGCCCTAATCCACAGAACATGTGACTCTACTTTTCCAAAAGGGATTTTGCAGATGTGATTAAGTGAGAAATTTGAGGAAGGTATGATTTTCAGAATTATCCTGGTAGGCCCAATGCAATCACTAAGATCTTTGTCAGAGAGAAGCAGAGCGGGAAGTTGAGTCAGAGAGAGAAGGCAATGTGCCAATGGGAGCAGAGAAGAAAACAGGGAATGATGATACCTCCAAAAGCCAGAAAGGACAAGGAACAGAGTCTCCAGAAGTGACACAGGCCTACCAGCATCTTGATCTTTGCACAATAAAACTGATTTCAGACATCTAAAATCCAGGACTGTAAGGTAAGTTTGTGTTGTTTTAAGGCACTGAGTTTGAGTTGTAGTTACAACAGTAGTAGGAAACTAAGCAGGACACACAATGCAATCTGATTACACATATTTTATTGTATGTTTGATTTTGTGGAAGGGCAATGATTATTTTTATTGCTTCTATGTCATCCTTTCTCTCTAACATATTTTGGTTTGTTTTAAAATAAGACAATAAGTCTGGGTGTGGTGGCTCACACCTATAATCCTAGCACTCTGGGAGGCTGAAGTGGGAGGAATGCTTGAGCCCAGTAGTTCCAGACCAGCCTGAGTAAGAGCTAGACCCTGTCGCTACTAAAAATAGAAAAAATGAGCCAGGTGTGGTGGTATATGCCTATAGTTCTAGCTACCAAGGAGGCTCCGACAGGAGGATTGCTGGAGCCCAGGCGTTTGTGATGCAGTGAGATATGATGACATGGCATGCTAGCCTCGGCAACAGAATGAAACTCTTAAAAAAAGAACTCTTCCCACACACGTATAAAATAAGAGAATGTAAAACACAAAAATCAAAATAGCATAATACCTGCCCATATACATTTCTTAAAATAGGAAGTTGTTCAAAACTGCACAGAACATAGAATGCCTTCCCTTATTTTGTGTTTTGGTTTCTTCCCCCCTTTTATAGGCATGGTTGGCAGAATAAGAATTGAGTTACTTAGAACACTAATTCCTAGTGAATTCATCTTTTCAGAGTATTAATCAGGTCCTTCCCAGCTAGATATATGATTATTGATGGGACATAAACACTTTGTGTACCCTGATTTAGACAGCTTTCTTTTCTATGCTTTTCACTTTTAGCACATAGTCTCTGATGATTCTAAAGAGGTCACCGGTGGGAAAGGTGATATTCAAGAGAATAATTTATAAGGCAGACACCCACTAAACATCCATTCTCTTCTTCCTTAGCAAGACAGTCTCACTGCGGACAGGACGGCAATATACCCAGGCAAAGGGCCCATTTTCCAGGTGAAAGGGCCGGATTTCACCTGGACTTACCATGGGACTGAATATAGCCAATGAGACTGAAGTGACAGAGTTGGAGGGGCCTTCTGAGAAGCCCACTATGAGCTGACTTAACTCTTTGGCCTTTTTGCCTTTTTTCCTTTCTGCCTCTTTGAATATAGATGGAATGGCTGTATTAGGGGATGTTAACAATGAAAGCTCTGCAGAGTGGAACACACAGAAACAGCTGCCCTGCCTCTGTCGAGTAGTCAGACCCATCCTGTACTGCCTGCCTGTGGGTTTCCTGGACATAGAAAAGAAGCCTTTGGGGATGGATCTCTGATGCTAAGACCATACACACCTCCTAATAAGATGTACTTTCAAAAGCCCAATTCATGATCTTCTGTCAGTAGGTACATAAACTTTGTATAGTAGGGTAAGGAAGAGTTAGCTTACAAACTGGCAGTTTCTTTACTACATTGTTACAAAAGAAACTTTTTATAAGGAATGATAGGAAAATATCCTGAAGAAGATGGTATTTGGCTAAAGTGGGGTGGGGGCAGTCTTCCTAGTAGAATTCTGCTTGGAAGCTTTTCTTTTTCCTCCTAAAACCACAAAGACCTATAAATAATGCCTCCCACAGTCAAAGCTTTCAAAATTGCAGTTATTCTTAGAAGAGTTCCAACATAATATGGCTTAGACAACTGCAAATGAAAGAAACAAAGGGCAGAGAGAAGAGAAAGAAAGTTGCAACATCCTCGTCTACGCCAGACCTAATCTTTTCTGCCAAGGAGTACAAAGCCCCCTTGTAGCGTAAGGGTGGTAAGAAGATGTGGTGCTTCACATGACCAGCTGGGGCCTGTAAAATACCATAAACCCAGAAAAAAAGGTAGAACAAGTTAGAAAAGGTGAGATTGAAATTGGTGTGCCAAGGACAGAGCTGTTAGGGGTGCTTGAATGCCTTGCATCTAACCATCAAAAGCTAATACCACACAACAATGATCATATAATACATGCACACACACACACATATATATATATATAAACACACACACATATAAACACATGTGCACACACACGTGTATATATTCAAGGAGGTGATACATTCTGCATAGATTGGGATCTGGTGAAATATTTGTTTCAAGCAACAAAAATAATATGGGAAGGGGCGGAGAAGAGACCTTACTAATTTCACTGAAGTCTTTGACTATAGTAATAATCAGGTCAAGGTCAGAATCTCAAAAAAAAGAGTAAGTTAACATTGAGGGCTATAGAAGTGGCAACTGCAAATTGCTGGACAATAAGTGGAGAGTTGTCTTAATGGCTGTATCCAGCAAACCTTAGTTTTAGGGAACCTAAAGTCAGGGTGGGTTTAGAAAAGCTTGAGCATTGCATAATTGGAGAACTTGAATTTACAAGGTCATTGACATGGTGCTTGAGCAGGAATTAAAACATTACCAAGTTTGTTAAGTCACCAGTAAAAGAATTATAAGTTTTCTTAGATAGAGGCCATTCTCTTTCTCCTGTGTTCCATTGCACTTGGAATATTCTACTTACACAACAGTTGGTATTTCCACTGCTTGAATGCCTGTCAGTTCTTCCCCACCCCAATAAAGGGGGAATTTTCCTATAAAGTTAGGCAGCTTTTATATGGGCATGTAGTGGGATAAATAAATAAAGAAAGAATTAGTGAATTAATGAAAGACAAGAATGTGGATTGGAATAGATGAACCTTGGTTTGAATTCTGCAACAGCTTTTTATTAGCTATGTGGTCTTGGACAAGTTTCTTACTCTCTTTGAATAATATCTAAAAGGATAGTTTTATGGAATAAACAAGATAGTATGTAACGTACCAAGCACAATTACTAGTAAAACTTATAGTACTCTATAAATGTTCACCTTCCCCCCCCCCACCTTTATTGAGGTCTGTGCTGGGTCTGGTTCACCTTTTATTTCTAGAAATTAGCATACTATCTGCTTGCAGTGACATTCAGACTGTGGCTGCTAATTCTTGAACTGAGTTGGTGCCAGTTGGTGAAAATATAATTGCTATGGTAGCCTGGCACTGCCCAACACCCTGAATACTTTGTGCTAAGCTGAAATATAGATGATCTGATTGGTGGGCAGCCCAGTTATGAATGAATATCCTCAGAAAAGTATATGATGGTTTTCAAGTCGGCCTATAAGAAACATTCTGCATGAAAAATAAAGTATTTTTCTCTTTTTCTCCTTCACACCAACTTAGAATCAGACAATTGGACAGTGGCATGTGCATATTTGTGGCTAAGTTATGCTTCTGTTCTAGAGGGGGAACCGCATGATGGCTTAGAGAGGGCTGAAATATTGTGAAGGAGGAACAATTTATTTTTCTTACAACATAATCAGAACAAAATTCTTTAGAAAAGGTTATAGGAAAGCAGTGTTTTCCCATTCAAATCAATACCACACCCACTCTTCCATAGCTTGTAAAATCAGGAAATAACACACTTCTAAGTGGAGGAATATCTAAAATACAATTGGATACATTAAAATCGAAATGACACCTTTTCAGATCTGGTTTATTGATGTGTCATATTAGGAATGAGAATCAGCATACATAATACAGGAGTGGTTAATGAGCTAAGATTCATACACAGCTTACTGAAGACGCATCAACTGTCTGCAGTTGATTCAGTGAGCATCTGAAAGACAGCATTTTCTATTAATATTTTTCCTTCAGCATATGGTTTCTCATTATTGTGAAGCATTGCAAGTTCTGAGAAGACTTTGCGAGATCTCTAACTTTTTACATTATGACTGGGGCGGGCGGGGGGGCTGGGAAGGAACTTTTTCTACATGGAGGATTAGAGAATCTCTTAGGTAAATTGTACACTAAGAAACTCATACAAAACCTTCCCCCCAAAATGACCCCCTAATTCTTTCCCTTTTCTGTCACATTTGTGCCTACCCTTACTCCACTATGGTTTATTTTTGTACCTGTTCTGTGCTCTTTATTATCTTTGTTTTACTTCCTCACCTATGTCCAACCAGCCCCTTTGGTCTCTGAGCTGTGAACCCATAACTGCTATGAAATTGTCCTGTAGTGGCTCATTTCCTCTGTCCAACAGTGATTCCAAATTGTTTCTTATTCATGCTCACTCTTTACCCACTTGCCCCCATGTTCCCAAACTTACCAAACTCATTCATTGCTGCACCTGAGCTTCTTCAAATACTTAGATGTTAGTAGAAGTAACATCTACACAGTGTGAAATAGCCCTTAATGTTATAGGAAGAATGCAGCTTTAGAGTTTCCCCCCATTCGTGACGTTGAGGGCACATTTTTTTTCAAAATGTGTTTTACGATAGTTACACTTGCATTTACTGCATGAAATGTTACTAAAACAA